GGTAGGAGGCCAACCCAGCCCCCAGCCCAAGGCTTTTTACTGAGTCACATTGTCCCAGAAAGGCATTAGACTCCAGGGACAAACCCCTTCCCCTGGGGTTGGCCAGTGACTTTTCCTGCGTCTCACGCCCAATGGATCAGTTCTTTAAGGCTCCTCTGAGAGTCTCCCAGGGTGGCAGCAACTGCTTCCATTCCAAGGCCCCAGCGTCTTGATCACTATTAGGACACGTGCCACCTTGGACCATCAGTTTTCTGTGTCATGTGCCGCAAGCTCCTCCAGGGAGAGGGGCTGTGTCTGCTTCACCTTCGCAGCCCAGTCTCTAACCCAATGTCAGGTACAAAGCAGGTGCTTAATACCTGAGTGTAGGGTGGGGACYGACTATGACAACTTGACCAGAGGGGCCTGCCCAGCCTATTTAAATTCAAATTTAAATTAGTTAAAATTAAATTTAAAAACTGATTCCTTAGGACTGGGGCTGGGGCTCAGYGGTAGTGTACTTGCCTGGCATGTGTGAGGCGCTGGGTTCAATTCCCAGCACCATATATAAATAAATAAAGGTCTATCAACAACTAAAAAAAAAAATTTTTTTAATTGCTTCCTTAGCCACATTTCCAGTTCTCAATAGCCTCAAGTGTCTAGTGTGCAGAAGATGGGACATCTCCTGCACTGCAGGAAGTTCTGCTGAGCAGCGTGGCACTAGAGGCCAGGCCCCAGCTAGCCTCAGGCTGTGAGCCCCTCTGGTGATGTCCTCTTCTGCAGCTTGGAGTTTGGCCCAGGGATCCCTGGCCACCTTTGGGCCTGTCTTTGAAGAACAACCTGTTGGCCTGCTATTCCCAGAGGAGTCTACAGAGGAGCAGGTGACGCTGGCATGCCGTGCCCGGGCCAGCCCTCCAGCCACCTATAGGTGAGGGCCCTGCAGGGAGTCCTTGGACACCCTGGGCAGCCGCACTGTTTTTCCCTCACRTCAGCCCCGACTGCAGGCAGGATTCAGAGGTTCCCCTCCTCTGTCCCTTTGTCAGGTGGAAGATGAATGGCACCGAGATGAAGCTGGAGCCAGGTTCCCGCCACCAGCTGGTGGGGGGCAACCTGGTCATCATGAACCCCACCAAAGCACAGGACGCCGGTGTCTATCAGTGCCTGGCCTCCAACCCAGTGGGCACTGTGGTCAGCAGGGAGGCCGTCCTCCGCTTTGGCTGTGAGAACAATGGGTGGCCAAGACACTGGGGGAGGGGAAAAAGAGGCAGGAAGCCCAGGGTACGCCCTCAAGCCAGGCTTTCCTGCCCTCCCCTGACATGCCCTCAGGAACTCTACTGCCCCGGGGAGGGTGATGAGATGGGGAGGGAGCCTCGGGCACGGAGGACGGTGCCCGATTCCCAGTCTCCACCTCTAGTTCTGCAGGAATTCTCCAAGGAGGAGCGAGACCCCGTGAAGACCCACGAAGGCTGGGGGGTGATGCTGCCCTGTAACCCACCTGCCCACTACCCAGGTGAGTGGGACCCTGTGGGAACACAGGAATGACTTCCGGATATTCAGCCAAGGAAGGTTGGAAGAAGAGGTGGCAAGTGCCCCTTGCAAGCACTGATGCTGGGTCCCCCTACTTTAAATGACTCTTTGTTTGGTGGGTCTGCCCTTTTCTAATTGTCCCTAAGGGTGCGTTCACCAGTACCTTGTGCTCCCTGAGAACAGAGCCTCTAGGTCTCTCCTCAACTCCGGTTCAGAGAGTAGGAGGCTCCCAGAGCAAGGTCCACAGATTCTCTCCAGCATGTGGGGTCCCCCCACGATTGCCCCTGAGCCCTGCCCCCCTGGTTTCCTCAAACTACCTGCACCCTAGGCTTGTCCTACCGCTGGCTCCTCAACGAGTTCCCCAACTTCATCCCGACGGACGGGCGCCACTTCGTGTCCCAGACCACAGGGAACCTGTACATTGCCCGGACCAACGCCTCGGACCTGGGCAACTACTCCTGCCTGGCCACCAGCCACATGGACTTCTCCACCAAAAGCGTCTTCAGCAAATTCGCTCARCTCAACCTGGCTGCTGAAGGTCAGGGTTGCCAGGTGTGGCGGGAGGAGGGCGCTGGAAGCGTCAGTGGGTTTGGGAATAGGTCCCTCATCTTCCTCAGGCCTCAGACCTTTGCCCCAGGCCCCAAGGGGAAGGGAAGTCCTCTGAGACCCCACCAAGCTGGAGACTGCRGGCTCTGAAGGGTGCCTCACAGGATCCTAGCACAGGAGCTAGGTGACTCCCCTGGAGTCACTTATGTATAATGCGCACCTCCCCCTCTCCCCAGATCCCCGGCTCTTCGCGCCCAGCATTAAGGCCCGGTTCCCAGCAGAGACCTACGCGCTAGTGGGCCAGCAGGTCACCCTGGAGTGCTTCGCCTTTGGGAAGTGAGTGGCACAGAGGAGGGGATTCCCTGGGGAGCCCCTCAGGGACACAGGGGACCCCAGGGTGASAGTGGACAAGGCCAACAGGCAGCTTGGTGCCCCTCTGCCCCAAGCAGAGTGCTAGGTGGGCAGTAGGCACTGTGACCACCCTCTGATCAGTAATTGCAGGTGAGGCATCCGGTGCCAGGGCCCTTGCACACATTGGATCACTTGGTCCTGACAGCAGTGCATAGTGGGCTCAGATGGCCTGAGCAACACTGGGGCAGGGGCGGGAGCAAAGTGGGCTCCACCCAGCCCGCCTGGTGCAGATCCTGGAGGTCACTCACTGACAGGGAGGCCTTGGGCATAAGATGAGATAACCCGAGTATCTCAGCTTCCTCCTTTGTAAACAGTGAGAGTAACAGTAACGACCTGGTAAGATTGTTATGAGTAAATAATATACTTAAAGCCTGAGAACAATGCCTGGCATTTAGTAAGCATTCCTTGAATGTCAACAGTCACCTATTTCAAAAGTACTATAGAAACCATTAACCTTCCTGCTCTCCCAGAAAAAGCCTTCACTGGAACAGGGCTAAGAAAGAGCAGGTGCTCAATAAATGTCTGTGGAATGAATGAAAGAATGTGATTTGGCTTTGGTCCCCTCTTGCTTCAAATATGTCCTGGGGCTGCTGCTTTGTGGAAAGTTATTGGGCCTGCAGAAACCCTACCTGAAAGGCACATGGAAGGGTAACATAGTGGCCCTTCAGGATGCTGATTCCTCAGTCCATTTTAGGACACAGGTTATTCATAACTAAAGCGCCTTTGAAAAGTGGGGCCATAAGAAAGGGGACCATAAAGACCCAGCACATAGACTACAGCTGACCAGGACAGTGAGAGGGCAAACCGGACCACCTGAAGACCACTTCATTGGCTTCACAGCTGTGGCAGTGGACAGGGACAGTAGAGGAGGCCTGCTCCTTGTCCCTTCCCTGATGGCATTCCAAGCCTAGCAGGGAGAAGAGCTATGAATCAGCCCACATGTGCCCTCTGTCCAGCTGTCCCCTCCCAGGACCCCCACCCCCAACCCAAGAGTCCGGGCACGGGAGGAATATGCCCAGCTCAGCCGTCCGCTCTGGCTTTGTCTCCCCTGCCAGTCCTGTGCCCAGGATCAAGTGGCGCAAAGTAGACGGCTCCTTGTCCCCACAGTGGGCCACAGCCGAGCCCACCCTGCAGATCCCCAGCGTGAGCTTTGAAGACGAAGGAACATATGAGTGTGAGGCGGAGAACTCCAAGGGCCGCGACACCGTCCAGGGCCGCATCATTGTTCAGGGTATGGAGCCGGGGACACCTTCACCTACACCTTTGGCCCTGAGGAAACACCCCAAAAGTCAGAGGGAGTCCGGGGGGCCTCGCTTCAGCCCTCTTGCACTGAGTGTGGGGTCAGAGAGGCTACTGCCGTGGCCAGCACAGAGCTTCAGTTGGGGGTGCAGGCGGCACACAAACACTTTAGAGTGATTTAAGTTGTTAAAGCCGCCACTACACAACCACAGAGGGCCGACTTTCCTGTGCCTGCTGCTTCTTGCCCTCTCCTCATCCTCTCCATCCCAGGGTGCAGAGCGCGTCCCTGCTGTCGGACACACCCACCGCAGCCTCCCTGTTCCCTTCTATTTAATGAGCCAGAGGCTCCTCTCAGGTCATCCCAGSTTTCTTCTCCCTTGGTCCCCACAGCTCAGCCCGAGTGGCTCAAGGTGATCTCAGACACAGAGGCTGACATCGGTTCCAACCTGCGCTGGGGCTGCGCAGCCGCCGGCAAGCCCCGACCCACCGTGCGCTGGCTGCGGAATGGGGAGCCTTTGGCCTCCCAGGTAGACCTGGGCTTCCTCCCACATAGCACACCCTCTTCTGCTCCCCTGGTTCCCTTGTCCCCAAAGCCCCCCCCCCACGTCACTGGTAGCCCTTCTTGACTGCCAGGGTGTTGTGGGGGGTTCTGGGTGCTTCTTTCCATTCCAGAGTCACCTGGCCATAGGCTGGTCAACTGGATATAATCTCCGAGACCTGGGTCCAAATGTGACTCAGAAACAAAAACAGAATGTGGTCTTGAGTGGATCACCTGGCCCTCCTGGCTTYGGGGCAGGGCTGGGCTGGGTAACCGCAGAGTCCTCAGATGCCAGRTTGTGCTGAGCTAGGACTGGACACATGAGCCCCATCCCAAGGAGCTACGAGCCTCGAGCCTCCGCTGCATGCATCCCTGCTGAGCCCTCCTTCCCAGGCCTCCAGTCATCCCGATCCCCCTGCCCTGCCCTGGGCGGGGCTCTTCTGCACAGAACCGGATGGAAGTGTTGGCCGGAGACCTGCGGTTCTCCAAGCTGAGCCTGGAGGACTCGGGCATGTACCAGTGTGTGGCAGAGAACAAGCACGGCACCATCTATGCCAGCGCTGAGCTGGCTGTGCAAGGTAAAGGGCCCAGGGAGGGAGGGGACATCCTTATGCACATGGCGGTTGGGGGGTGGGCCATCAGAGTTCTGAACTGAGCATCTCCTGTGGCTCACATGTGCAAGTGCACAGGCGTGTGCGGGCARCTGCCCTCAGTTTTCCAACAGCCTCTGAGTAGGAGAATTGAGAAATTTCAGAAAGGAGATGAGACACCAGATTGACAGGTCCCAGAGGACCAGGTCTCTGACTCATTCCACGTCTGGCAGGGACAACGCAAATGGAGTAGGAGAAAAAGGTAGCAAAAAGGATCAAGAATCAAATTGATGAGCTCTGTTTAACCCCGCCCCTTCAGAGGTGTGGACTTCGGCAAGTCGCTTAGCTTCTCTGCCAGTTTCTTTTCTTTTCTTTTTCTTTTTCTTTTTTTAGTACTGGGGATTGAACTCAGGGAMCACTGARCCACATCCCCAGCCCTATTTTGTATTTTATTTAGAGACAAAGTCTGAGTTGCTTAGCACCTTGCTTTTGCTGAGGCTGGCTTTGAACTCACAATCCTTCTGCCTCAGCCTCCTGATTGCTGGGATTATAGGCATGTGCCAACACACCCAGCCACAGTTTCTCCATATATAAAATGTGGGCAATAATGGTCCTGCCCTGGCCAGGCATGGTGGCACAYGCATGTAATCTCAGCAGCTCAGGAGGCGGAGGCAGGAGGATCACTAGTTCAAAGCTAGTCTCAGCAATTTAATGAGGACTAAGCAACTCAGTAAGACCCCCATCTCTAAATAAAATATAAAATAGGGCTGGGGATGTGGTTCTGTGGTTAAGTGCCTCTGAGTTCAATCCCTGGTACCCCCCTCCCCGAAAAAAATGATAATAATGGTCGTGCCCTCGTTCTGCTACTGTGAGGGTAAATGAGWTGGAGAGGAAAAGCATAAAGCGCCTGCCCATCTTATGACGAGTGCCCATGAAATGTCATCTAGTGCTTATGCTTAGTTCATATGCCCTTGGCTTGCTGAGGCTCTGTTTGCCCAGCTGTAAGGTGGGCATAATAATACTTACCTGGTTAAGTTGCAGGGAGGCTGGGGATATAGCTCAGTTGGTAGAGTGCTTGCCTCGAATGCATAAGGCCCTGGGTTCAATCCCCAGCACCACAAAAAAAAAAAAAAAAAAAAAAAAGATCGGAGCTGGGGTTGTGGCTCAGTGGTAAAGCACTTGCCTCACACTCTCGAGGCCCTGGATTCAATCTTCAACACCACATAAAAACAAATAAATAAAAATGAAGGTATTGTATCCATCTACAACTAAAAAAAATTATTAAAAAAAAAAGTTACAGTGAGGCTAAGGGAGACTTGCTCATTCACCCATTCAGAACCTCCAAGGGAATGAGCAGAAAGAAAAGATCGTGCCTCAAGCAGTTTATAAACTATTGGAGGGAGAGGGACAAATGGAAAACAAATTTGGGATTTGACCTGTGTGTTAAGGAGGAGCCAGCCKTGGGAAGAGTTGGGGAATTTCTAGCCACAATTAGAGCAAGCACAAGGGTCCTGAGGCAGGATAAGGCTTGGCAACTTTGAAGGACAAAAGAAAAAATAAATTGGCTGATAACTGGAGTGTAATGCRCGAGGGCCAGGGGAGCAGAAGGGATGGGAGAGGTGGGGACTTGTTTTCCATGGCTGTGAGCTGCTGGCTTCATTCTGAGTGCTTGATTCACGTTTTTACAGACACTGCKGGTTGCGGGGGTGGGGAGAAGCGACTGTAGGAGGGAAGCGGAGTCCCAGGAAGACCAAGTATGGGGCTTTGTCAGCAGTCCAGGCAGGAGAGCTGATGACTGGGACGAGAGCAATGGCAGTGGCCAGGAGGGGAAGGGGCTGGATGCTGGGTGTGTCCTGAAAGTGGTGCTGCCGGGAGCTCGTGGGTTGGTCTCTAAGGTACTGATGGTGCTTAGTGCCTGGCCCGGCCAGGGCGACAGGCACTGCTGTTACTCTATGGTGACTGCACGGCTCTCCCCTTTCCCTCCAGCACTGGCGCCTGATTTCAGGCAGAATCCGGTCAGACGTCTGATCCCCGCCGCTCGGGGAGGAGAGATCGTCATCCCCTGCCAGCCCCGGGCAGCTCCGAAGGCCGTGGTGCTCTGGAGCAAAGGCACTGAGATTTTGGTCAACAGCAGCAGGTACCACCCCGCATCCCACTCCCAGCCATCCACGCTCCTCCACATTCTCYTTGGAGGCCGGTTCCCCTCCGTGTCTGCAGTGTGTCCCTGGGTTGGCCAGATCTGCTTTGTCCTTGCTGCAGAGTGACGGTAACTCCGGATGGCACCTTGGTTATCAGGAACATCAGTCGGTCYGACGAGGGCAAATACACGTGCTTTGCTGAGAATTTTATGGGCAAAGCCAACAGCACCGGGATCCTGTCTGTGCGTGGTAAGGGCTGTGGCTGGGGGCCACCTCCCCCACCAGCCTACTCCTGTAACCCCAGATGGCTTCTGGTTGGGTGTTGAGACCACCCCAGGATTCAGTTTTGCATGGGGCCATCCCCTTGTCACTGTCCAGAATCTGGTCCTGCTTCACTGCTGGCCACACACGCATAGGGATGCTGAGGGATCAGGACACTATCGGTCACAGTGCCTCTGTTCTTTCCTGGGGCCCAGGACGAAGCCTTGTGCCTTACTGCAGCCCCTGGCCTGGCCTTTTCCCTCCCCCACTCACCCAGGGGTCCTTTTTTGTTTTGTTTTCAGATGCAACCAAGATCACTCTGGCCCCCTCAAGTGCCGACATCAATGTGGGTGACAACCTCACCCTACAGTGCCACGCCTCCCATGACCCCACCATGGACCTCACATTCACCTGGACCCTTGATGACTTCCCCATTGACTTTGACAAGCCTGGGGGTCACTATAGGAGAGCCAGTGTGGTGAGGACTAAGGCCAAACTCCCTGTCACTCCTCCCTCCTTTCAGGTAGAGAGGGGACCCAAGATGTCCTCAACTTGAAGGACATCTGAAGCCACCATTGTCCACCAACTGAAGCCCCTCCAGAGCCTTCCCCATTCCCTGAGGCCCATGCAGGCAAACTTGTCCCTCCGGGATCCCAGTCACTCAGCGGAGGGTTGGAGACAGACTGGGAACCCAAGCATCCCAGGAAACTCCCTCCCGGCTACTCTTCCTGTTATCCTGCCACCCAATGCAAATGACCAATGGCTTGCAGTGACATTGACTGTCTTCCGTAATAAGCTTTGTTCCTTAGTCYCCGGGGTACTAAGCAGGAAGTAGCTGATTCCTCCTATTGAACTGAGAGGCAGAGGGGCCTGCGGACATAATGGAGCAGGGGGACCCCAGATCTCTGCTTTGATCTCATGGCCCAGTGAACTAGTAAAGGCTACTTTCTCTGACCTGGATGTCCCCTTGGGTGCAGAAGGAGACCGTTGGGGACATGACCATCCTGAATGCCCAGCTGCGCCATGGAGGGAAGTACACGTGCATGGCCCAGACAGTGGTGGATAGTGCATCCAAGGAGGCCACCGTTCTGGTCCGAGGTGACGGGTTCCCCCCACTCTGCCCCACCCCTGCTTTCTTGGCAGCCAGCAGGGCTATTCTGGCCTGCTGTCCCTAGCTCCCCTCCTCCCCTGCAAGCTGCAAGCTCCCCTGCAAGGTCATCTGCTGAGCCTGGTATATCCGTTCTGTGCCTGTATGGTTGATTTTTCGTGGGTTCTGAATGAGTCGAATATTTTTCTTGCGAAGACAAATATTTTTWAAAAATCCATCCTTAAACCAAGGCAGAATACTTTGCTAAACCCAGTTTTCAAGTCTGGTGCTTGGGAATCTACACATCGCTTTGCCAGTGCCTTTGTGAGCACCCCCAGCTTGAGGCCACCCCTCCCACTATGCCCCCCCTCCCCACTCACTGCCCCTCCCTTACCTTCCTTCCTGGGTGTGTCCACTGCTCCCTCTGCTGCCCTGCTTTGGTAATGCACCAGCCCTGGAGAAGGTTGGCTCAGATAAGAAGCTGCCCAACTCTGACCCAGTGTGCTCTGCTCTCGGTGCAGGTCCACCAGGCCCCCCAGGAGGCGTGGTGGTGAGAGACATCAGTGACACCACTGTCCAGCTAAGCTGGAGCCGTGGCTTCGACAACCACAGTCCCATTGCCAAGTACACCCTGCAGGCCCGCTCTCTACCTGCAGGGAAGTGGAAGCAGGTTCGGACCAGTAAGTGTGAGGCCCACCTGGCTCAGCACTGAGAAAGCTGGGCTGTATGTGTCAGAGGCAGGGGGCAGGGTGTCSTCAGGGTCAGGAGTCAGGGGTCAGAGGGTCAGCAATGAACCTGGAGTTTTGAAAAGATATGAGTTTTGCCTCCTACTATCCAGAAGYGTCCAGGCAAATAAAGAGACAGAGAGCAGGAGAGGGGAGAGAGTTGAGGAGGGGATGCTCAGTCTGCACCCTTGAATACTTGRAGGAAGGATTAATACTAGAGAAATGAAAATACTGGTTAGGGTGTGGGGTGCACACACCAGGGGAGTTGACTAGTTTTTCAATCGTGTCTGAGGAGGTTTTGAGTGCTTAGTATACAGCAGGTGCCACCATGCGGGCTGGGTACCAAGGTGATCAGGCCCAATGCCCACCCTCATCCAGATGAATAACCAAGTTTTGTGCACCGACTCCCTGGTACCTTGCAGATCCTGCCAACATCGAGGGCAATGCCGAGACCGCCCAGGTGCTGGGCCTCACGCCCTGGATGGACTATGAGTTCCGAGTTTTAGCCAGCAACATCCTGGGCACCGGGGAGCCCAGTGGCCCCTCCAGCCGAATCCGGACCAAGGAAGCAGGTCAGGGTCCTGGATRTCCCAAAGGAAACACAGCAGGGCAGAGACATTGGCTCCCCCTACAGGGGGACTTCCAGCATGCAGCCAACACGGAGTTCCAGCCCTGCTCACCAGGCTTTGGGCTCTAACAAGACAGCTGAAAGGACACACAAGCCAGGGTGAGGGCGAGGCTGCTGTGGGGAGAACCGTGAAGTCCAAACCGCTCATTCAAAAGAATCAACCTGACAACTGCATGCGAATCCATAATTATTTTTTAAGTTTACATTTTTAAAAAATATGGAAAAACAGAAGTTTGGAAAAGGGAAGGGGTCACACCAGCAGAGCCTGAACTTGAACTTGAATCATGGGGTGGCATTCCTGGAAGTGCAGAAGCTGCAGAGATCAGTTAATGAGGAAGGGCTGTGTGTGTGTGTCACCCAGTGGGGACAGGGAAGCAGCCAGTGTCTCCAAGCCCTTTTTAGATGACCTCTTTGGGAACAGGAGGAATTGAAGAGTCTGCCCATGACCCTCAGTGAAAAGTGTATGTCTCAGAACCTGAGTGGGGACAGAAGTGGGGAGAGAGCCCAGGAGGAGGAACAGGCACAGGCCCCATCGGCATCTGCTGGGAGGCTCTTGCCCACCTGCCTCTGAGCCATTTGCAAGTGAGGGCTGGAATGAGGGGTCCTGGAACAGACAGGACTCTGAACCCTGCTCCCTCATCCTGCCTCCTCTGACCTGCTGCACCAGATGTGTAGAGAGGGTCCATCCTGATGTCWCCTTTAAGCGCATTCTATGTGTTCCAGGACGACTCTCCAGGCTGGTTCTGGAATCACCAATATTTTTAGTTGGTACCTCTTAGTAGTAAGAAGTTTCAGAGGGAGTACTTTCTTTAATTAACCCTGAACTTCTTGGTGATGTGAGTAGGAAGAGGTCTCCTCTATTCTAGTCTCCCAGGAGTTGTGCAATGGAAAAAAAAAAAAAAAAAACGGGCTTTAAAAATCAAAAGAACTGAGTTCAAATTCTAGCTGTGACATATGTTAGCCATGTGACCTTAAGCAAGTCACTTAACTGCCCCAGACCTCAATCTTTTCTACTACGACAAGGGTGATAATAATTCCCACCTTGCAGAATCAAATAGGCGATGTATTTAGGTGACCCATGCAAAGTAAGGCCTGAAGAGACCATCATCGGAAAAGTGAAGTCTCCCTGTGCTGAATTCTCTGCAGAAATATTTAGACCCCAGCCAGGTTACTTTCAGCCAAGCTGCATGAGCAGATGAAATACATTCTTTTTTAACATCAGCCATTTTTTTTTTTTTTTTTGTACTGGCGATTTAACCTAAGGGTATTTTACCACTGAGCTACAGGACCCTCCCATCTTTTTTTAGTTTGAGACAAGGTTTTGTTAGGTTGCTTAGAGTCTCACTAAGTTGCTGAGGCTAACTTTGAACTTGCGATCCTCCTGCCTCAGCCTCCTGAGCTGCTGGGATTATAGGTGTGTGCCACACAACATCAGCCTTTTTAAATACTATAGCCAATTAGGGAATTAAATCTGTCACAAAAAGAATAAGTAAAAAACACTTTGGAGCTCAAAAGAAATAGTTTTTGTTTTTGTTTTTTATCATTGTTGTTTATTCAGTGGTGTGTGTGTGTGTGTGTGTGTGTGTGTGTGTGTGTGTGTTGTGGTGCATTAACCGCCATTCTGAGTTATTTATTCTGCTTAAAGCAAACCCAAGTCGGTGTCTGTGATTTAGTTTAAGCTGACAGGAGTGAAAAGGGCCATGACCAATTTTTGGAGCAGCTCCCTACCATGTGCTCGCCACACCTTTAATTTCGTTTTCATTATAGCCTTTGAGAGAGACATTATTATCTCCATCTTATGAAGAGGAGAAGCAGAGACTCAGAGAGGTTGAGTTTCTCGCCCAGGAAACCCACGTAGTCAATGGCAGAAATGGGAGTTGATCCTGGGTCTGTCTGACTCCAGAGCCCATGCCCAGAAGGGCTGCTGGGGACAAAACCAGGATGCATTTGAAAGGATGTTCCCATCCTGAGATGTGCTCCAGGCACAGGCTCGAAGCTTTTGTTCCTTCATTGCCCATTAACAAGCCACATCTGTGTCCCTTGGCCCCTGACAGCCCCCTCAGTGGCACCATCAGGACTCAGCGGAGGAGGTGGAGCCCCGGGAGAGCTCATCGTCAACTGGACTGTAAGCTGCCAGGGACAGAAGCAGACGAGTCCCACCCCCTCCTCCCTTCCTGACTCTTCTGCTTGAGCCCCSGGCAGAAGGGTCCACCGCACAGTTCTGACTCAAAAGCTGCCAACTTCCTCCTCCCCTCCCCTTGCACCTGCTGCCCCCGACGCAYACCCACTGCAGGCGCAGGTGTCCCAGGGCTGCCCCTCTTGGTGAAGGTTGGGTGGGGACCAAGGCTGGGCAGGGAACCACATCCGTGACTCCTCGCCCATGCCACCCTCTTGCCCTCAGCCCATGTCACGGGAGTACCAGAACGGAGATGGCTTCGGCTACCTGCTGTCCTTCCGCAGGCAGGGCAGCACTAGCTGGCAGACCGCCCGGGTGCCCGGCGCCGATGCCCAGTACTTCGTCTACAGCAACGACAGCATCCAGCCCTACACGCCTTTTGAGGTCAAGATCCGCAGCTACAACCGCCGGGGGGATGGGCCTGAGAGCCTCACAGCACTTGTGTACTCGGCTGAGGAAGGTGGGCCACTCCTGGGCCACCACTCCGCCCCACCCCAGCCTTTTGTCCCTAGGGATATGGGATGGGGAAACTGCTGCTCCTGCCCCAGCTTGATTCAGAGTAGGAGGTGGAGAGGGCCCCTGGGTGCTAAGCCACCGGACTCACTTCTGCTCATTGAGCAGGAGAAGGAGGGGAGCAGCTGTCTGGGAAGAAAGTAAGCCCCGGGAGACACTCTGGGGGCTCCCACCCGGCCTTTGTCCTGGGCCTGCACCCTTCCTCTAAAATCCTGGGCAGTCCTGATTGGGAGCTGCTCTGTAGGGCATAGGAATGCTCCAGAAATCCAAACCTATTCTGTGTTGGTCCCCAGAGCCCAGGGTGGCCCCTACCAAGGTCTGGGCCAAGGGGATCTCATCATCAGAGATGAACGTGACCTGGGAACCTGTGCGGCAGGACACAAATGGCATCCTCCTGGGGTATGAGGTGAGCACTAACCCGGGGCCTGAGAGAGGAATGCGGTGTGCAGGGGTGCTGGGGCTTCGAGGCTTGTGGGGGACGCCTGACAGCTCACTCAGCACTCTTCCTGGAGTCACTCACTCTCTGCCTGGCAAACTGAGCTGCCAGTCTGTGGAGCACTGTGGATGCAACTTCACTAAGATCGGTGGCTGAGCCAGGAGCGATGGCACAGGCCTGTGATCCCAGTGGCTTAAGCGGCGGAGGCAGGAGGATTTCGAGTTCAAAGCCAGCCTCAGCAACTTAGTGAGGCACTMAGCAACTCAGCGAGACCTAACTCTAATATTTTTTTTAAAAAAAGCTTGGAATATGGCTCAGTGATAAAGAGCCTCTGGGTTCAATCCCTGGCACCAAAAATCATCATCATCATCATCATCATCATCATCATCATCATCATCCATGGTTGACCCCCAATGGGGAAGAGAGACTCATAGATGTCATGCATGAAGTGAGTGCTTGGGTAGAGCTGGCACAGGACAGACCACACAGGGAGAAGTTCATTCCAAACTCTCCCCTTGATTTGGAAAAATGTTTAGCAGTTCTTAATATTCYAGCTACTATTAAATCGGGTCTGTGTTGGTTGAACAGCCATCATAAACTTGCTGGAGGCCAGGGGCTACTTTGCAAATATAAACATGATGTTCCTGATGAGTTGGGCTCTGGCAGGCCATCACCAGGCTGAGCYGGTGCTCACCCCTGCTAATCCCTCCCCCACCACTCCCTCATCCCTACACCTTTCTTGGACCCAGTACTTTTGCTGGCACTGAGAGATACAGGGACTCACACCSGGGTTACCCTGCTCTCTGGGTGCTTATAACCAAGTATCCCAATTCTAAGACTCAAGAGAATGAGTCTCAGGACCAGGATGAGCAAGAGAGAAACAGAATGTGGGCATCAGGATTAGGGTAGCCCTGAGATCCTGGGCTTGACCACTGACCCTAGGGTACCCTTACCCCCTTCAGATCCGCTACTGGAAAGCTGGGGACAAAGAAGCAGCTGCTGACAGAGTGAGGACAGCAGGGCTAGACTCCAATGCCCGAGTCACCGGCCTCCACCCTAACACCAAGTACCACGTGACCGTGCGGGCCTATAACCGCGCYGGCACCGGGCCTGCCAGTCCTCCCGCCAATGCCACAACCATGAAACCTCGTGAGTCTGTCTGCCAGGGGTGATGGGGATGCTGGGGGTGCTTCCAGGATCACTGTTTCTCCAGCAACAAGACACATGCTCTGGTCCACAGAAACAAGGGGTGAGCCTGTTAAAAACGAGGTAGAAATTCACAGCCTCTGTCTTCTCCAGCCTTTGGACTTCCAAGGACTTTGTTTTTGAGGCACTGGTGGCAGAATGTTCTGGGTGTAATTAGTACAGGCAGACATCGGGAGAAGGGCTGGTGGATGCTGAGGCGGGGGCAGGGGAGGGACAGGGGACCATGTGGAGGTCTCTCCAACTGTCCCTCCCCTGGCAGCTCCCCGGCGACCTCCTGGCAACATCTCCTGGACTTTTTCAAGCTCCAGTCTCAGCATTAAGTGGGACGCTGTGGTCCCTTTCCAAAATGAGTCTGCAGTCACGGGCTACAAGGTGAGGAAGAGATCCACAGGTGAGCAAAGCTCTGGTCTTTCTGGTAAATATGAAAGCTACAGTCTGCAGCAAGAGGGATCTGAGTGAGATAGAAGCAGAGTGTGGGACCGGTAGAGGCTTGCTGCACAGAGGTGCTCTCTAGCTCGCCTGTGGTAGAGACTATTAAACAGGAGCAGATGGGAAAAGGCAGGGGTGGTGGGGCAGCAGTGGGGCTGGAGGTGAGTTTGCAAGCTCACCTTCCACCAGGGAGGAGCTTGGCTAATGGAAAACCCAAGGAGGGGTGAGGAGACAGAACCTCAAGGGCCCAGAACTGGGCTCCCCCCAGGGACTAGATCTGGGCAAGAAAGAAGGATCTGCCCTGGCATAAGGAAACTMCACCCGGAAACCTTCCTAGATGCTGTACCAGAATGACTTACACCCAACTCCCACACTCCACCTTACTGGCAAGAACTGGATAGAAATCCCAGTACCCGAAGACATTGGCCACGCCCTTGTACAGATTCGGACCACGGGACCTGGAGGGGATGGCATCCCGGCAGAAGTTCACATCGTGAGGAATGGAGGTGCTGCCTCTCCCCTCTCCTGTCCCCCAGAAGTATCAGGCTCCACCCAGACACCCACCCCAGCCACCTCCAACCTAGACCCCAGGAGAATGGAAAAGCCAGGCAGGAACCAAAGTAGAGCAAAGCCATTGCCTTCTCCCACTCTCCACCCAGCCCGAGGGCCACRGAAGTGAGGGTGCTTCTTTTACTGGGTACAAAAGGAGGCTGCAGCCAAGGACAAAGGCCCTGGCAAACTATGGGAGTAGGACTGAGAATACCAGGCGCCGTTGACACTCTGGGGTCTGTAGTGTTCCACCCCCTGCCCCCCATCCAGTGTCTATTTAGGAAAGGTCTGGATCCTGTTGCAAGCATGGGGCTAGGGTCACCCAGGCCCYGCTCACTCAGCCTGCATTTCTGCTGGTTTCAGGCACAAGCATGATGGTGGAAGACGCGGCAGTCTGCCCAGCCCCACACCCCGGCGCCATCCTCTCCCACTCCACAGCGATGCTCATCCTCATAGGCTACCTGGAGCTCTGAACTCGGCGCTTCTCCTTCTGCAACAGAACTGGAACCCAACTCTGATGGACACAGCCAGCTGGCCCTGGCCCTTCCCAAGCCAAGGTGGCCCAACACTGTGCCCAGAGTGGTTGGTTTTAAACACCTACTTTAAACAGGACCCTTTGTGCAGGAGGTAGGATAGTTCATATTCTGCCACAGGACAGAACCATAGGTGGATCTTTTTCTCTAAATGAAGATATACTGGGCAGTGACTTCCATGATGATACTGAACCCAACCCCTCGGCCCCTAGGGGTTCTGGATGGAAGAAACGAGCCCATGGGAAGAAGGGGGTTGAATGCATATCTTGAATGGCAAGAGATGGCACTCAGAGTCCGCATGTAGACTCTGTCACCTGAGTGCAGAATCCTGGGCCCTGTGGGAACACCTGGCAGGAGTGGGCTGAGGACCTCCCTCAACTAAGAAAAGGACGAACCCTGGGACCAAGACCTCTCCTCGTCCTCCTGTTGAGGAGCAGCGCAGCCGGACCCTGGCGTTCTCCTCCGACTCCCCAGCAGCCCCTGCCTGCCTGGGCGGCTAGAACTCTTGCCCTGCTGCTGGGATCGGGAGCCTGAGCCCCTTCAGCATTGAGGGATGAGACTCCAGACTTTTAGGGGTGGGAAAAAAGAAGGGTTGGGAGGCTGGGATGCCTGGTGGAATGGGGCACCAGCCTGAGCCTGAGTTATGGGCACCATGTGGGTGACACTGCCCTCTCAGCCAACACTGCCAACCCAACCCTGTCACCCGAGTGCCAGAGCCACCTTAGGTGGCTGGGACTAAAGGGCTTGTCTTGGGGAAGTCCCTCACCAAGACTTATCCTGCACAGCCCCTCCAGGGTTAGGACAGGAGACTACCAGGCGCTCACCCGCCCTTCCCTTCCAGCTCTGCCTGCAGACCTGTGGCCACCTCCCTCACTGCCACCCTCAATGCAGCATTCCTTCTCTGTTCCAGCATCTGGAGGCTTCTGAGCCAGGCAAGGATCAATATGACCCTGCCTGCTCCCAGGAATACCCTGGACCACCTGGAGAGCCCTGTTCCCTAGACTGCCTGGACCGCTCTTTAACCCCAGAAGAAAGAGGGATTAATAAAGGGGACAACCCACCTTGAGCTCAGGTGTACTACCAGTCACGGACAGCAGAACTGGAAGAGGCCTGAGAGCTCAAGTTGTCCACGTCCTGCACTCCCCAGATGAGGAACTGGAGGTCCAGAGAGGATCAGGGACTTCCCAAGGTCACAGGGCCTATAAGTAGAGGGGATGGGACAAGAACACAACTCTTTTACCTGCCAGTTCAAGGCTCTGTCTCTGCAGAAGAAGGAGGCAGTGCTGACGGCTGTTATAAAGGTGGTCAAGGCTGATGGGGGGGTGAACAGTCTACTTCAAGGGTCCCCATTGCTGACCACGAGGATTGCATGGCTGAGCCCAGCCCAAGGTGTGGCATATTCTGGGAGATGCCCAGGCCTCCCTTGCCTTCTGAGCCTGGCTTCTGCTGGGGACTAAACATGCACTACCAACTTGAAGTCCCAACCCCCTTACCCTTGCTCCAAGAAGAGGCCAAAGCAAGGACAGAGTTCCCCAATCCAGGCAGCAGTAGCAATGCAGCAGGAAACCCCAAAGCCTGTGCTCTGCCAGGGGACTCTCACATCTGGGAGCAGCGTGGCAGGCATCTTGAAGGGCACTTGTCCCTGAAGCTCCCTGGGCCAGTTTTCTGTAGTTTACAGTTAGAGCTCTATTTTGTTATGGTTTTTTAAACTTTTAAGTCCTGCTCTATTTTCCTGGGCAGGTTTATGTTGATGTTTACCCAGTACAATTTTTTAAAAAACGTCAGCTCACACAACTTCTCCCTGCCACCCCACAGCCACCTCCCTGCAATCCAGGACTACAAGGAGGCTACRGGCTTAGCTAAGCGACCATTCCCCCTCACAGGGACCCCAGATTTGGCCTAGCATCTCTCTTTGTGCCCTGCTGGCTATGATTTGGCCTGTGCCCAGTTCTCTACCAGAAGGGGACACTGAAAGAAGCTTCCCCAAGGTTTATCTGATTCTTTCCTCACTGCCTGGGGCTGCAGCAGGGGAGACAGGGAGCCTACTTGCCAGGCTGGGATGAGCTGCTTTGGCACAGGAGCTAACCAGGGATGCGGGAGGCTGCAGCCCCTAAGCTTGTTTGAAGGAACACTCATGGTCAAGTACCTTACTTCAAAGAGGTCCATTAGAAAGAGGGGGATGGTGATCTGCTTGGGAGACCCAGGAAGGTTTCTTACCAGAAAACCTGACTGCTCCACAGACAGAATTTGCTTGGGGGACAGAGCCATAGAACTCTATTATTATAGCAGATGTTCCTGAAGCATGAGACTGCATGTGACTGAGGTTACAGGCTTGTAAAATGGAATAGCTTCTTGCTGGGGTGGCTTGGAGGAACAGACTAGATTAGGCAGCTTCCAGAGTCCCTTCCTGCCTGAGGGGCCTATGATTTTGTCTTCTCTGCTTGGATGGGCAGGGGGAGCTAAGTAGGGCTCAGTCCTTCTGCAGTCCGGACTCAATTCTGAATTCCCTCCTCTCACCAAGCCCCAGAGAGAGGCAGAAGCAAGGGTTAGTTCAAACAAGTATTTTGCTGCCTCACAGTTTAATAATGACGAGTAAATGCCCTGAGAACTAGGGACAGCCAGCCTAAGATGCCTTCTCAGGGCTGGGCAGACAAGCGCCCACTGATCTGCAAGCACTGGGGCTCAGGCAGCAGCACACACCTCCTTGGTCCTTGTGTCTCTAACAGGGCAGGAGGGCGGGGACTCTCTGCATCTGCTCACAGAGTTGTGGGGCTTACAGGGCAGCTTCTACTTTCATTCAGGGTAGCAAATCACAAGGTGATGCCAGGGAGTAGCAAGGCCATGGGGGGGTGGGGGGGTGGGGGATTTTTTTTCCTTCTTTTAATAAAGTAACAGGAGAGACTGAAGTTAGACATGAGAAGAAGCTTCTGCAATGAGACCCTGGAATAAGTAAGCAGTTACTTCTCTAGAGACCTCTGAGGACTTTGGAGTGTTGGTGTAGTCTAGGTTAGGTGAAGCTGTGACTGGAGGGATAGGAGATGCTGTCTGTCCTTCCAGAGCTGAGTCTTAGAATCAAAGCATAGGAAGATGTCATCTGTTGTGGTCCCTGTGTCTTAAAGGAAGCCATTAAAGAGGAAGGGTCACCCAGGAATTGTGGTGGCAACCCAGTGCCTTCCCCAGCACGTACTGCCCCTTGGCAGACCCCAAAGCCATCCAGCCTGCACTCTGGGCAAGAGCCAAGACGGCTAAAGATGTTTTCCTCCTCTCTTCCTGAGATCACCAGTGGGGCTCCTGCATGTCACAGGGATAGTAGTAYCCTCACACCTGTGTCACCGGCACGGGTGTGATGTTTGTCTCCCCAGCTCAAGACTCAACCTGGGCCAAAGACTCCTGGAGTAGTTTAGTGATCAGATAGTCATTCTTTTCTAAGGAACTTCAAAGAGTCCCGTGGAAACAGGTACCTAGGAGCCAGTGGCAGGAGGGGCGGTGCCCCATGAACTTGTATATATGGTCATAGGCTTTGGGAAGGAAGGGCCATAAAGGAAAACTGGAGAGGAACAAAATGGGTCAGACAGATTTGCCCAGAGTCCTAGGCAGCCCCAGGCCTAAGGCACTTAGTACCCTTGGATAGGGTGCACCTGCCTTGGTCCAAGGTGCCTCCAACTTGCCACCTGCTTCAGGGCCTGCCCAGCTTAGAGAAGCTCAGGACTTGGCAAATGCTATGGCCTAATAGACCACTGACTATACAGCTTTTGTTCAAATGGAGCCACTCCCACGGGCCCATTGTTCCGCTCTTATACTTCTTGTATGGTAGTTATTTATTGACTCTGGTAGCAGACAGTTCGTAAATAAAGATGGTTTCTCAACCTGTCGGCTGACAGCGGCTGTGGATTTTTATTATCACTTGGCTCTAGCACATCTCCTATCCTGTCTGGTAACCTGAGGCCTCTATCCAGGGCCTTCAGCCATCACAGTGAATCCTGTTAGAACATGCAGTCTGTATCGCTTCATCCAGTCCTGGGAAGGGAGAAAACTGCCAGGGGACTCAAGCAGGTGACATAGAACACAGCAGGCACTTTGCCAGATGGGCTGGCTTCATCTAACACAGTGGCAGCAAACAATACCTGTGGATGGRACCGCTTTAAGGTCCCCTGGCTTTGAAAACATTTGAGGTGTTGACTCAGTGGTCCCAAAGGGAGGTCTTTCCCCTTAGAGAGATCCCAACTGGGGRGCACGTGACTGCTCCCTCTGCTCTCTGCAGCCAAAGGTTGTGATTACTACTCAGTTTGCAGCCACAACTCACACGTTCAACAAACACTGATCCAACATCCACAACAGATGAGCTGTGCCTGCGGTGGCACACAGCCCTGTATTGGATTTTCAGTGCAAAACAGGTACAAAGGGGTCCATCCTGTCTCATAATTTTCTTGAGGGAGATCAAGGTGAGTGGAGAGGGCCTGTTCAGCAAGAGAAAGGTCCCATGTAGACACCAGTCTGACACAACAAGGTCACCTCTTCCTTTTTCACCCCAAGTGGATGTTGGGAGCTCAGGTCACTATCGAACCCAAATTTTAGTCCAGTCAGCCTCTCCTTGACCCTCTAGAGGCAAATTACATGCACAGAACTCCATTAACTGAATTTAGTTTGTCTTTGGTAACTTGTGAGAGTTTYTTGTTCTTTTCTTTGCTCAAACCCTTGAGTCAAGGGATTTGCCATCCTAAGTCAAAGTTYAAGAGCCCAAGGCACAGAGGGCAGTAAACCAAGAGCTGTGGGATAGGATCATCTGACTGCTGGTTTGCAACTGAGTGCTGGAAGCTATTTAGCTCTTCCAAGTATCAGTCTCTCCATCTGTAACATGGCAAGCAGCAGCCCTCAGCAAAGTCAATACGCAGTTCACTACATAAGATGCTGTTTCCCGACTTTGAAGTACAGCAAGCTATCTCCTGAATTCTTCAGTAAAACAGTACTGCAGTAAAAAGAATCATTAATAACATTCCCAAACTTCAGTTTACCTCACTGCACCCTCATAATCACCTATTTCCAAGATAAGGCCTACAAAAGGTGTTAGCTTGTTCCAGTACAGCCCATAGCAGACCCAGGCCAGAGTTGCATCTTCTGAACTCCCCTTTGAAGTGTGCAGATGAGAATTAAGGGTCTGTGTACAATTTAAGGTCTTTTAAAAATAACAGCAATAGTAAAACAATTCCCTATCCATGGGCCTAAGCTACTGATTGTCAATCTCAACTATGTATCATAGTCATTGATAAACCTGTTAAAGATGCTTTGATCTTTTATGTATAGCTTATCATCAATAATCATGGGCCAATCTAACACCATGAGCCACCTAATGTGACATAGTAAGTATGGATCTACGTAGGGCTCTTGTCATAAATGTCTAAAACTCATTTCTTGTGAATCTAATGTTAAAATGACAAATCCAGATTGTGGGACACCACCCAATACCATTGGACTAGCCAGACACTTCAATAAAATCAATGTCATGCCCTGTGCGGTGGTGCACACCTGAAGTCCTAGAAACTTGGGAGGCTTATACAGGAGGATCACAAGTTCAAGGCTAGTCTCAGCAATTTAGTGAGACCTATCTCAAAATAAAAAAATAAAAAGGACTGGGGTTGTAGCTCAGTTGTAACGTATCTTTGGATTCAATCCCTAGTACCACAAATAAAAAAATAAATAAATAAAGGGATTGGGGATATACCTCAGTGGTAAAGTACTCCTAGGTTCAACCCCCAATACCCACCCCAAAGTAATAAATTCTACAAAATCAATGTCATGAGAAAACACACAAACGCATATATATGATCTTGAAAAATGAAGACTTAAGAAAATATTGAACGCAATACATAAAGCTTTATTAGCTCCTAGATCAAGAAATTACATCAGAAAGCTCTAAGATTTTGAAAATTGGAGCAACTGAACATAAATTATATGTTAAGACTGGGAATTGTTCATTTTCTTAGGTGTGGTAGAGGTATTGTAGTTATATAGGAGAATGTCTCTACAAGATACATACCTGATTTACTTTCCAATAAAGGGTCACAATGTCTGTGACGCTTTCAAGTGGTTCATAAAATCTGTAACTTAGGCAGTTGTTGTCAAACAGCTAACAACTGATGAACCCTAGGCAAAAGGTTTATGGGTGACCACTATAAACCTTTCTTCTAACTTTTCTCTGGGTTTGAAATTTTTAAAAGTAAAGGAAGTAATAAGGACCCTTTGACCATAATTTAAAGTGAAGTAGCATCTCCAGAGTTGGGGCTCAGGAATCTATTTCCCAAAAAAGTTATCCAGGTGATTCTGACACATGGCTCAAGGGAGAGAGAAAACCACCAGTCTTTGATTCCTGACAGTTCCATAACCCAATTATCTTGGATAGTCTCAATGGTCCCCAAGAGTCTTAACACTGGATCTTGTACAGAGGAATAAGGTGCGAGTCCTCCCATGGGAGCTTTGGCTACTATCAGAGACCCATACATTGATCTTTCCAGGAGCACAAACTTCAGGGCACTGAGCAAGCAAAAATAAAGGAGCAGGGAGCAAGCCACAGAACTGCTTCAATGATCAGGTGAAGTATCTCTGTTTTGCAAGAAAATTTAATTTAACATTGAACATAGAGGGTTCACCTGGGGAGGGCAGAGAGGGCAGGTTAACATTTAGGGATTATTACACACCTGAGTCAGGTGTCGTTACTAACAACTTCTGCCACCTATGGGCATGGGCCCTCTACAAAGCAATTTGTCCATTGTCTACTATTAAGAAATCCAAGGGAAATTGAAGCCAGGCTGATTATGGGACCATTTAAACAAATGCAAGAAAGAAAAATGCTAGGTTTCCATATAAATTACTTTTATTGAAGAGGAAAAAAATGTTTTCACTATGAGTACGCTGCTCAAGAGAGGGGAGATGGAGATGGGAAAGCACAGAGGTTAGAGAGAATGCAAGTTTGAAAGACAGAACTCTTCCCAGGAACAGGAGGTTGCCTGCAGTCTCCTGAGAACTTAGAGCCAGGGAGATGTGGAGCAGAGACCCACGTGGGACACAAAACAGCTGGTGATGGTTGCCCACAGCTAGCAAGAGGCTGCTCCTTCCACACCCCTCACCCAACCTTTTGGCAGTAGGAGCCTCCCTCCTAGCCAATTCACTACCTGACACCCAGAGCATTCCCTGAAGAGCTAGCCTGGGTTTCTGGGTGGCAGTCCCTCGGGAGCAAGGCTTGTAAGCTCTTGTGGCTCCAAGTGCCATCAGTCCCCCTCCACATACTGCAGAGGACAATGCTCACCAAAATACCACCAACCACTCCACCAGTAATTCCTATTCCCAAGGCCAATGTCACCTTCTTTTGCCACTTTGGCCGGAAAGGCTTGGAATGGTTGTCCAGATTAACCTCCAAGCCCTCATCTACTAACTTCTGTTCCTCGGTAAGAGATTGAGAGAAATTCAAGTTCACCAACTTTGGAGGAAGGACCCTCAGCCCAAAATACAGCCTCTTCACAAACCTCAAGTTTTTTAGCAGCTGCACATCACAGCGGTATGTCCCAGAATCATACTCCTGGACAGGTTTAAACCTCAAAAAATAGGATTCAGCTCTGAAGGGTCTGAAGAGCTCATCGTCAGTGGAAATGATACCCCGTGCAAGTCTCCAGGTGAAGCGGAAAGCTTTCCGTCCAATCTCCAGGATGTCTGAACTCAGACAGCTAAGCTCAAACTCCTGCCCATCGAGGACGGTGAAATGCAGCATCCCACAGATCCAGTTGGTCAGACATTCCAAGCGCTGAGACTGACACTTCCTCCTCACTCCATCAGGGCCCACCTCACAGATGGTCTCCTCTTTATAGCCAAGGCCGCAAGTCACAGTACAGGTTGTAGCATTGACAATAACTTTCCCTACAGCTTTCTGAAGCTTTTCAGGGATGGCCAGTGTTTTAGGTGAAGTCACCACCAATGGCGGGTAGACAGTCAATGCCAGACTTGTGAGGATGAAACCAGTGGCTGAAGTCTTCATGTCTCCACAGGCATTTCACCACCCTTAGCCAGAGCCCTCTGGGTATTCCAGTTGAATTCTCTCTGCATCATAAATGAATTCCTTCAACATGGGATGTCCTTCAAAGTCAAGAGATATATGATGCATGCACTGTCAACTAAACAATGCAACCAAATACACAAAATCTCAGTCCTTACTCACAAGTGAGGTCCCAAGGCAGAAAAAACAACAAAAATCAATCACAATGTTGCTGCTGCTTTACTATCTATGCTTGTTAATGACCACCTTACCAGTCTCCGTTCCTTTCATATCCTCTTAATAGATTTAAATCCACCTCTTGAAAAGACACAGATGGAGGGCTGGAGATTGGCTCAGTGGTAGGGTACTCTCCTAGCACGTATGAGGCCCTGGGTTCAATCCCCAGCACTCCAAAAAACAAACAAAAAATCCCCACAGATGGACAAGTGAATTTCCAAATGAAGTTACATTCTCCTACCCTTTCACTCCCCTTCCATGTGGGATAATTAAAGATTTCAGGATTCCCAAGTTGAATCTGATCAAATAAAAAAAAAAATACCAAAGTCTAAAAAGAACAGATAGTTAAGCAAATTAAGTTCCAGTTCAATACCTTGAATTATTTACTATAAGTGCTCCTAAAGATTCTATAAAAAGGATCAAGAACTCTGGACTGGGAGGCAAGTGACTTACCCTTTCTGAATTTCTAATTGTTTCCTCCTCCATAAATAAAGCCTTCCCCACCTATTTCAGGGAGATCACTTTTGACCATCAAATGATGCAGGGCACGTGAAAACACTCTATGAAGTGTGACACATTGGTCGGGTATAAGGAATCTTTAAAAAGAAAGAAAATTCATGAAGGCAAGGGCCAAGACGCCCTATCAGATGAGCAAGAGAGGCTGTCAAAAGTAGCGCCGCTCCAAGCTGAAGGTTCTCCTGTCTCAGGGTACTGAAGACTTGGGCTGGGCCAAAGGATGCAAGCTGCTGCCTCTGGGCCTGTTCCCTTTGCCCCACAGAGCAGAGGGGCTCACTGATTCCTTATGCTGATGAGGGTTGCTAGGAAACAGCTATGAGGTCAAAGACAAGTTCTCAGTAATATGACAAAAAATTAATAAACAGACACTCAGATTTGGCAGTGATTAAAATCAGACTTTGAAAGATCTTATTCTTGAGGAGACAATGAGTAGTTGGTGGATTTTAAAGCTATTTAATACAGGAAAAAAGACGAATAAAGAGGAATTTAAGAAAGGTCCCTTGGAAGCCTGGAATTTCCTGGCATGCATTTTTGTAACCTCCAGAATTTAAACTATGGCCTCTTCATGGTAATTAAACAAACTTACACTGAGTTAAAAATCTGAAGAGATCATTCCTAGATGATCTTTTTGATTAACAACACCTTTTGTTTCAAATCATTTATTTATGATCTTGTATAAAGGCATAAATTTAGACACTGTGCCCCCACCCCACCACGCTCTCCAGCTCTCTAGTTCCATACAGGGCTCTAACACCATCACAGGAAGTCACATTCCCCAGTATATGAAAGTGGCTGGTGAGCTCCAGAAGTGATCAGTGTTTACAAACGAACATCTGCACCTGTTCTTTAATAAACATCCGATTTTATTTACAAAGCATTAAAGCTTCAGCAAGAAGTACCCAAGGCTACGTTTTTATCTTGTACAAAACTACAGAATATTTGAAAAACAAAATGGTGGGCAGGGAGAAGATGACAAAGGGAAGAAGAGAATATACATATATTACACAAATCAAACTGAAATGGACAGACAGTTTTAGGGGCTGAAAAAAAAAATCCCCAAAACATAAATAATTATCAGGAGCTGCTGCCAGAGATAATCTGACAGGACGTGATTTTCTCAGTAGCCAGTTGAGGAGTTGGACAGAGTATAAACACCAAATGCCCAGGTGAGGAAACCAAACTCCTTCATCATGGGAGTAAGGCAGAAACCCTCTGTATCAGTCTCCACACTATAGTGTGCAGCACAGAGAACAGGAATGAATATAATGTCTGCAAAACAGAAACATGTCCAGTGAGCCATCTGCCAATCTTAACCACTGTCCAATTCATGTGAAATTCACAAAATGAGCACTTGAAGAAGTAGCAGTGGCAACTAAAAAATTCAGGAAGAGTTCTGACTTCTGGGAAAAATAAAAAATATATATATTCTGAAAGATGGGATGGGAAAAAGAGGCCCTTACTGATGTGTTCTACTTTGATTTCTATCCTACAATCTAAAAAATAATCAATGTGTTTGGCTACCTAAAGGAGCATCCACCAACTGATAAAGACTTCCCAATAATCGCTGTATTTAAATTCTCCTTTGAAAATACTGAGAAAATGATGATCCAGGGTAAGCACTTTGGGTCAGCTAAAAGCTCTACTCAGACAGGCTACTAAGCCCCTTCCACACCTGGTTTCCTCACTCTGGAGTTTCAGAAAATTTCAAACACCTAATGTACACATCCATCCAATCTGCTACTTTTTATTTAAACAATAGCAAAAAAAAAAAAAAAAAAGAAAGAAAGAAAAAAAAAAAAAAGCTAAGCAACCTTTCACAGAAAGGAAGTGACTGGGAAACACAGCAAGAAAAAGGAGCACGAATGCATGGATGCAAGAGGGGAAAGATGCACTGGCTGATGGGGACAGGTTTCCATAGGCAATAATAAAAAAAAAAAATTTACCTTGATCTTTGATTTGAACTGTTTTGCTGCTTTGATTTTGGAATCTGTACTTTAGTCCTTGCACAGGTTCCCCACCCCAATAAAAAAAGAAGCTTGTTGAGAAACACCTTGTTTTGTTTCCAACTCTGGAAGCCAGCACAGATAAGGTAATATAAACTGTTGATGATTCTTGGCTGGAGATGGATAAAACTAGTTATCTTCAAAATCCATGATTAATGAGACTGAACCAATACTGGAGAAACATGCAATGCAAGGAAAAACCCTGAATCTCCTACTGCCCAGCTTCTTGAGCAAAATGTATGACAGGAAGAGGGGGCCTTCTTATCTTTCTTCTTTTCCTGTAAATTTGAAATCTTTCAAGCACGTTCTTTTCTGCCCAACCTTTGTACACTAAATGGAAATACAGGAGTTATCTGAGATAGGGTACATTTAAAAATGAAAGAGAATATGCAACAGAAGTTTTCCTAGGATATTGGAAACAAAATTTCAGATAAGAACAAGTCACTCGAGGACATGCATTGAGGACGGAAGGCAATCAGGAGACAGGAAATGATATGTCAAAATGATTCTGGGTACAATAGCTAGATGAACAAAACATAGGTATCTTTTCTCCAGCAACACAACCAAGCGTTGAAGTTTATGTGAGTCAAATCTCCTACTGGATGCCTTCACAAATCCTCATTCCTGAGAGCCTATTTGGACTTACGCTTGAAAGGGAAGGTAAGGGACATATACTCTTCTTCCATAATTCACTTCTTCATTCAAACATAAAATTCACTCCTTCCACCTCCTGGGTGGGAGGCAGAGGCCTTTGTTTTAAGTTAAAGTCAATCTCAAATAACTGACCACACTGTCCAGAGGCCACCTGATGGCAAGTGAGGAAGAACGAAGAACTTCAAGGTCTTCATAATAGTTCTGAGATTGCTCCTCCTGCTAAAGAGATTAGACACAAAAAGAATTCTTTTACCATCAATTCAGATTAGTTACTTCTAAGAACAGAAATACTGATGGATGCTGCACTCCAAGCATATATGCACCAAGAATGTCCCCCCTTTAAGGAAAAGTTATAACCAATTCCAACTCCTAATTACTCTTTATTGAAGCAACAAATAATCTAAACCCCAAATCTCCTCCCCAACACTTTTTTCAGTACTGTCCCAAAGGGATGGGGGTGGGAGGTACTAAGCTGCTGACCATTCTCTATGGTGTTAGAAAGAATGCTTAGCAATCAAAAGGGTGTGATAAACAGAAGAAAGGAAAAGTATTGAACTTTTTCTATATTAGACTAAAACAGTCACTAAATGATTAACAATGAGAAACCCTGTTCAAGTACCACTATTCCTTAAGTGACATTTCCATTACCTGAGAATCCCAAATAAAGTGAAATGTTAATTAAAGCTATTGTCCATATGTCTACACACCAATAACTAACTGATACACAAAATCCTAAATAGTGAAATCAAATGACCACTTCCCTGGTTACTTTACAGAAGCTGTTCAACCTCCTAGGGATGTCCTTAAATGAACTGTTGTAAAATTATAAAACTAGGAAGCGTAAAAAGAGAACAAAGTGAAGAAAACCCTCCCAGATGTCACTTGGAATGGGAGAAAATATACTGCTTAAGAGTAAAAAGCTAAAAAAAATAAAAAGAAAAAAAGAAAAATTGCCCAAGTTATGAAGGAAAACTATCCATTTATAAAAAAATTAGCTTGAACCGATTTTAAAGTTCCAGTATAAATGAAATTAGTGTTTATAAAAATATATTCACATTTGCCTGAGAACAGCCTGAAATCAGGACAAGATACAACATTCTCTCCCTGATATAAGCTCTCTGCTGAATACTACACTGTTAAATCAAATTAAAAAATTTATGTAGCACCTGTTTTTCAGATCACTCCCAAAATAAAACATAATAATAAATTTGAGTTTGTTTTAAAAAAATCTTAAGATAAAAGAATATACTCTACAAAGCTCAATATTGTGCATTTACCCACTTAAAGGCTAGTCTCACTGATTTTTCCCATAGGTACCCTGATCAATTTAGTTTTAACAATTTGGAAAGAGATACAACATTGCCACTGTAATTCTAAATCATGATGGGAGAAAGTGGTTTGATCACAAATCAATGGCCTTGGGGCTGGGGTTGTGGCTTAGTGGTAGAGAGCTTGCCTAGCATGCATAAGGTACTGAGTTCAATCCTTAGCACCACATAAATGTAAAATAAAGATGTTGTGTCCACCTAAAGCTGAAGAATATTAAAAAAAAAAAAACAAATCAATAGCCTTAATAATGGACACTCAAAATGACTAAGCACCTTATACTGATTATCTGTGTAATTTGTGTTTCAGTAACATCCTTATTCTTATGAAAAGACATGAAATACAAACATACATACATAGGCTTGTTGAGGCATTAGGCACAGAACAAAACCAGAGCATAAGATACCAAGCAAGGTAATATACACAGAAATAGCAACACAGAAGACCCGCAGCAGTTGCCTGAAGGGAACACACTGTTTAGCAACAACATAAAGGAAATCTCCAGTAATATAATATTAAGGAGTTCAGTTTAAGATGAATAGCCATTTTTGGTACCTCCTAATAGCAGCCTCATCCAGAGTAGCTTAAGAGAATGCAGGGTCATGATTTTCAAATTCTACCTTATTCAGCTAATAAGATCACATGAGAAAGAATATCCAACTCGCTGAGTATAGCAAGATTTCATAAAATTAGTCTTTGAGACTGTTCATAAAAAAGAAAACAAAACACACACCTTACTCATTAACAAATGATTAAAACAATTGGGTTCTGTGACTTGTAGGTGATGGGACAGCATCAGGGAGCAGTGGTGCAGAATGGCCCAAGGCAGGAAAACCTGCAATGGTGTCTGTCGGCCCCCAAAAGTACCACCTCTGCTCACTTTGGCCTTTGCTACCCAGAACAGACCCAGGTGCACACCAATCCCTCTTGCTCACCGTCCCATGAGGCCTTTAGGCCATGTATGTGATAGACCAAAACTTTGTGTTACTTTGCTCCTGATAAGCCAAATTCACCACCCTACGGGCCCTATTTCTTAGGCTACATGGAAACGCGAGTCTGCTCACATCTTGTTTCTTTCTAGGACTCTCCTCTGGAGAGTAGCCAATGTACTGAAGAACAGACATTTGATAGATGGCACTGATCCGCCAGCCTGGCCTTTCCCTGGGAAGTCCCGAGCTCCAGGGTTACTCCTGCCATGCTTCACTGATGGGTCCTCACTCAATACAGAAACTATATCTTCATGAATGTAGGCACTCAGTTGCTAATCCAATACTAATGAGCTGTTTGATAGGAAAGAATGTTCTGTAGCTCTAGATTCCAGGTGAATTCTACGGTGATTCATTTGTCTTCCAATTTTCCCTTGAAATGCACCGTATCTCAACACACACAGGGTTTTGTGGAACAGGTTCTATAGCAACTGGCTAATTGCAGATATGAGCAAACAGTTGCCACCCATCTAGCCTGGGTAGCATAACAACCTACACCTAAGACCCTGCCTTCAAACAATCTGGTTTTAAAACAAAAGCTGTTCCATTAAATAAAGGGGGTTTACAAAACATGAAAACTCTCAGACTAGATGGATTTCTAAAGATAGTTCGGCCTCTGGCATTCTGAATTAGGTTTCACTTCTTAGTACCTGTTGCGAAAGCAATGACTACATACGGACTTTTATGGAAAAGCTTGAAGGTAATCTTTTATTGAAAAATCTTCTGTGGAAGAATGAGATCCAGATGCCAGTTTCCCTCAGGGGCCTTGAAGGGCTGTGTGCTAATCAGCTTTGCCTGCTCAGGGTCCTCAAGATGACCATGCCAATGGATGAACCCCAACCCTCAATCAAAGAATCCCACACCCAAGATCTGATAAGTGTCCTAAAATGGAGACTTCCCACAGGTTATCTAGTCTCACCACTGTCCCAAATTTGCAGCCTTCATAATGATGGAAACTACACTGCAGCTAGCCACAAAAGCTACTGCAGCCCTCCTGAGGGTCCAGAACCTCAAAAGCTGCAAGACCCTGCTGGGGGTTTTTTGTTTTTTTGTTTTTTTAAATGATCCTACTCTGTCTGTTGGCCCCCAGAAGCAACACCTGTCCACTCTGAAGTTTAAACTGGCCATATCTGTTCTGGAGATTTCCATTAGGATAAGGTTGAGGAACCAAGGCCAAAAAAAGGAAGGAGAAAATGGGAGGGACAGATAAATCAGATGGGTAAGTATGCAATGCATGCAACCACGAGGAACTGGGGAAATGCTTGCAGTCATCTATGCATTGTTTTGTCTCTATCACAAAATGTATCATCACTCTGGCCCTTCAAAGGAAAGCCTCCTCTAGCCCTTGTAAGGGGTAAATTTGTTAAAGGAGCTTCCCCTCTGCTTAAGGTTGATCCACTTTGGTGTCTAACAAAWATAAGTAGAAAATAATAGTCCAGAATGAAGCACCCTGCTATTATAATACACAAGCGAGGTCAGTACCTCCTAACCTTATCAACAGTCAGTGTGAAAAATCTTGTAATAGCCACCCCTCCCTGCCCCCCAATAGCAGTATCTACTCTTCCTAGAAGGGGCTTTAAAATGCTAACTTGTATAAATACTATAATACGTATATCCCACATTTAGTTCAAATTTTTACTACCAACTTTCTTCTGTCACTAAGATAATAATACTAATGCATTTGAGAATTTTAGGGAATTAAAAAGACTTATTCCTTCAGGGCTGAGTAAACTTTTCAACATGGTTTACTTTAATTCTCATTTAGACAGTTGCTGTCCAGTGACAACACTGTATTACTGAAGAAAATGTGAGTTTAAAATAAAAACAAAAACAAACTTAAAATGGTTTATTTACAACCACTTCCTACAGAAAACACAAGATTAATTACAGAAAAGTTTAAAGAAGGTGGGAGACTATGTCCTAAAGAGTTTAAATGAATTAAATTCCTTTTGGTCACATTTCTAATTTTTATTTTTAGTTATAGATGCACATAGTACTTTAATATTTTTATGTGGTGCTGAGGATCAAACCCACTGCCTCACTCGTTCTACACAGGTGCTCTACCACTGAGCCACAACCCCAACCCAGTTTGGCCACATTTTAAATCACCCTAAGCATTTCTTTGGGTCAGGGAAATCTATTTAAACTTTAAATTGCTCCGTCTGTATAGCATCAGTTTGTCCAAGAAGTGGGCTATGAAAGATCATCTTTATTTATGTCTAGTCAATTACTGATGTGCATTTTTTGTTGACAATGACCGTCTGTTACAGGCTATTTTTTTTTTTTTTTTAATCGGGGAGGAGGTTATTGTGAATGGGACAGTTTTCCAAATTTCTTTGTCAGCTGATTCTTCATTGGTGTATAGGAACACAACTGATTTGGGGTGTTAATTTTATATCCTGCTACTTTGCTGAATTTGTTTATGGAGTTTTCTGGTGGAGTTTTTTTGGGTCTTCTAAATATAGAATCATGCCATTGGCAAATAGAGATAGTTTGAGTGCTTCTTTTCCTATTCATAGCTCTTTAATTTCTTTCTTTTGCCTAATTGCTCTGTCTAAGGTTTCAAGGACAATGTAGAATAAAAATAGTAAAAGAGGACATCCTTGTCTTGTTACTGTTTTTAGAGAATGCTTTCCATTTTTTTTTTCCATTTAGAATGATGTTGGCCTTGGGTTTAATATTTACAGCTTTTACAATGTTGAGGTATGTCCCTATTATCCCTACTTTTTCTAGTGTTCTGAACATGAATGAATGCTGAATTCTGTCAACTGCTTTTTCTGCATCTATTGAGATAATCATGTGATTCTCATCTTTAAGTCTACTGCTGTGGTGAATTACATTTATTGATTTCCATACATTGAACCAACCTTGCATCCCTGGGATGAAACTCACTTGATCGTGGTGCACTATCTTCTTAATATGTTTTTGTATGCAAATTGCCAGTATTTCATTAAGAATTTTTGCATCTATGTTCATCAGGGATTTTGTTCTGAAGTTTTCTTTGCTTGATGTATCTTTTCTGGTTTTGGTATCTGGGTGTTACTAGCTTCATAGAATGAGTCTGGAAAAGTTCCCTCCTTTTCTATTTCATGGAATAAATTGAGAGGGATTGGTATTAGTTCTTCTTTGAAGGTCTGGTAGAACTTGACTAAGAATTTGTCTGGTTCTGGGTTTTTCCTTGTTGGCAGGCTTTTGATGATGTCTTCAATTTCATTGCTTAAAATTGACCTGTTTAAATTTTCTACATTCTCCTGATTCAATCTGAGTAGATCATATGTCTCTAGAAACTTGTCAATGTCTTCAAGATTTTCTATTTTGGGCTGGGGATATAGCTCAGTTGGTAGAGTGCTTGCCTAGCATGCACAAGACCCTGGGTTCAATCCCCAGCACCACAAAAAAAAAAAAAGATTTTCTATATTTAGGGGAGTATAAATTTTCAAAATATATTCTGATTATCATCTATATTTTCAGTAGTGTCCATGGCAATATTTCCTTTTTCATCATAAATTTTAGTGATTTGAGGGGAACTCTTTCTCTTGGTTAGCTTGGCTAAGGATTTATCAATTTATTTTTTCAAAGAACCAACTTTTTGTTTTGTTGACTTTTTGAACTGTTTTTGTTTTAATTTCATTGATTTCAGCTCTGATTTTAATTATTTCCTGTCTTCTACTGCTTTTGGTGTTGATTTGTTGTTCTTTGTCTAGGGCTTTGAGCTGTAATGTTAGGTTATTTATTTGGTAACTTTCTACTCTTAATGAATGAGCCCATTGCAATAAACCTTCCTCTAAGAACCGCCTTCATAGTGTCCCAGAGATTTTGATGTGTTGTGTCATTATTCTCATTTACCTCTAAGTATTTTTTAATTCCATCTCTGATATCTTCTGTTATCCATTGGTCATTCAATAGCATATTATTTAGTCTCCAGGTGTAGCTACTATTTTTATTTTAGCATTGATTTCTAATTTTATTCATTATGATCTGATAGAATGTAACATATCTTTTTTTTTTTTTTTTGCCAAGAATTGCTTTGTGGCCTAAGATATGGTCTATTTTATAGAAGGATTTGTGTACTGCTGTGAAGAAAGTATATTAAAAAAATATATATATTCAGCCACTGATGGATGAAACATTCTATGTATGTCTGTAGAGTCTAAATTATTAATTGTATTTTTTAGTTCTATAGCTTCTTTATTTAGTTTTTTTTTGGAGGGTCTATCCAGTGATGAGAGAGGCATGTTAAAATATCCCAGTATTATTATGTTGTGGTCTATTTGATTCTTGATATTGAGAGGGTTTGTTTGATGTACGTAGATGCTCCATTGTTTGGGGCAAAAATATTTATGATTATTATATCTTGCTGAGGTATAATTAAATAGTATGAAATGATCTTGTTTGTCCCTTCTGATTAACTTTGGCATGAAGACAAAAACCCCTGCTTGTTTAGGAGATCCATGAGAATGATATGTTTTTTCCCCCATCCTTTCACCTTCTGTCTGTGGATGTCTTTTGCCTGGGAGGTGAGTCTCTTGGAGACAGCACATTGTTGGGTCTTGTTTTTTAATCCAATCTGCCAGTTTATGTCTTTTGATTGATGAGTGTAGGCTATTTACATTCAATGTTATTATCAATAAATCATATGATAAATCATATTTTTTATCCCCTGTCATAGCCCGGCCTGCTTGATTTATTTCTTGTTTTAAACTTGAATTAATTTCTCCTTTATTTGACTTATTTAATTTCTCCTTTATTTGACTATTCTTCTAGTGTGTTCCTCCTCAATATTTTACTGAGTATGTGTTACAGTGCAGGCTTTGAATTGTGAATTCTTTTAACTTTTATTCATCACGGTTTTACCATCAATTCTGAAGCTTAGTTTTGCTGGGTATATTTTCCAATATAGACAGAGTATTAAGAGGATTGAATGTGATGGTGGTAACTGAATAACAGTGAAGCATACTGTTGATGGAGGAAAAAATACTAGCACAGAGTAGCATGATATCAGGTTATGAAAAACTAAAGTCTAAATCTAGCATACTTGAGGTGGAATATTGCAAATAATGACTAATTCCATTTGTTTTCTGTTTTCTGCCTCTCTGTAGAAGAAAAGTCATATTCATATACAATGATTAACTGACAAGGTATAATTAAGGAATTCTGTTAGCATTCTAGTGCTTCATTGTATATGGGTTAAAATTTTTGATTGAAGTTTTAAAGCAGGAGGGAAAAAACCTGAATACAACACTAATATTTTATTAATTCTGCTTTGAGACTACTCAATTAGCCTAAAAAATTGAAAGTATTATATTAACTCAAGTAGTGCTTATATATAAAACACTACACTCCAAAATTCAACATCTAATAGAAATGAATTCCAATCTGGTTAATATTTTTCCAACAAATAGTCTAGGTTAACAAATATTTGATAGGAAATTAAAATGGCTCTCTATCCTCCAATAAAAATCTCTCAATCATATACAAATGAGAAAACCAAATGTTATATATCAAAAGGCTTAGGCTTAAGAAGCTACAAAGAGCACAGTTTCTGTCTTTTGGGTAATTTCCTCCTGTTCTCAGATATGGRGTTTTATGTAAAAACCTCATTTTCTTCTTTACATGATGGTGCTATTTGTGCAATTTGAATAATATATGTAAAGAAAAGATGCTACAGACAGGGGTTATATTTTAAAAGCTTATATTCTGGCTATTTATGAGGAAATGAATTAAGCCAGTGTTCTGACCTTTTTGGGTCAGAGATTCTTCTATAAGAATCTGATAAAACCTAGGAGTATCTTCCCCAGAAAAATATCTCCCTAATATTTTGCATATACTACTAGGGGAATGAAGGCCCTCTAAAACCTACTTATGGATCCAAGGTTAAGAGCCACTGAATTAATCCAATTGAGGTTTAGCCTACCCTTAGCAGCTTAAAATTCAGGCATTATCTGCTGCTGGAAAAAAGGAGGAAAGGGGGGAGGGGAATGCTGCAGTTATAGGAAGTCAGGGATTGTACAAAGCAAGGCCACAAAGCAAGCCAGACAGTGCTCCCAATGTGTCCTTACCTGTCAAGGGCTGGCTGAGTTCCGCCTGCACTTTACCCTTCGTTGATCCTTCCAGAGGTAAACCTCTGTCCCCTTTGTAGAGTTTCGGTTTAAATGGAGAATCTTTCTCTTTACCTTTTGATCCTTTAGGCCGGCCTGCTTGCTTCTTCTTGGATTTGCCATCCCCCTTCACACCCAGTAGTGGATGGACTTCTGTAGAACAAGGATAGATAGAGATGGAAAGGGATCCACACAATAACAGTCTCAGCACCCCACCAGACCTCTGTGAGCAAAAACAGTGCTTTTGTGTCCCAGTTCTAATATCATAAACAGAAAAGTCTGCCTTATTAATTGTTTAAAAAACTACACTAATTGTGGTGGTACACGCATGTAATCCCAGCTTCAGGAGGCTGAAGCAGGAGGATGGCAAGTTTGAGGCTAGTCTCAGCAACTTTGCAAAACCCTGTCTTAAATTTTTTTTTAATTTTAAAAGGACTAGTAATGTTGCTTAGTCAGAGAAGGCCCTTAGTTTCAATCTATAGTACCAAGGGGGGGGGGGGGACAAAACAAAAAAACTATAAGACTATATATTATATGACAAATAGTTGCCTTACCCAAAGGAACACACAGCCTATATATGGTTCACACCAAGCCATAGCAACTCTAAACTGAACACGTAACTGAAAGACACACTGATAGTATATTAAATCAAGCTCTGGTATGAGGGAGCAGAAAGGGAATAGGCTTTGGGACTGGGGATATAGCTCAGTTGGTAAAGTGCTTGCTTTGCATGCACAAGGCCCAGGATTCAATTCCCAGCACCAAAAAAAAAAAAAAAAAAAAAAAAGAAAAAGAAAAAGAAAAAGATGAGCTTTGGATTTAGAAAGATCAGGGCAAGAATCCTGGCTCCACCACTTTCCGTAAGACCTTGACCAAGTTACATAATATCAGCTCAAATTTTCTCCTTTCTAAAGTAGGGAGAGTAAAAGAACTTGCAGAGCTGATGTAAAAGTCAGCAGGAGCATATAAACTACACGACAGTGCCTGGAACAGGGCAGACACACACAATCTAGAGCATCGGGGAAAAATGCAGTTGCATATTTAATTGATTTGTAGCCAAAGAAAGGAGGACTCCCAATAGTAACACACACACACACACCCACTTCCATCAATTCCCCTAACCATCCCAACACAGGATAATAAAGGTTTGCAAACTCAGCTTATAAACGCAGACAGGCAGAATAAAATGACTGTCAGGGTCTGACTAGTACTTTACCATCTAATCAGACCACTCTATGGGAAAAGATTAAAAAAGAAGATGAATATAACAAGGAAACAAATTTTGAGCCATGAGTCAGAAGACTTAAAGCATGTCATCTTAGGTAAGGTACCAAAGGGCAGAATTTCCATTTTAAAAGAGATGTGAACACAGATGTAGTCATTAAAAAGCTGTAAAGTACAATAAAGACTCATGGGAAAATTTCCTTAAGGCAAAAYTGCTCAAATAGGAAATGATCAGTTTTAAAAATTAAAAGTGGTGCCTCTTGGGCAGCAGGGAGATGCAGCTCTTACCGTCATTTGGTACTCCTTGAAGTTCAATATTGGTTGTTTTGGGTTTCTTCTTAGGTGGCTGGGACCCATCTGTTGAAGATTGCCTCTTCTTCTCTGAACCAGCCCCTTCATCCATCAAGGAAGTTTGGACAGCATCTGGTGGAGGGCCATAAGGATTTTCTTCTGGGTCTTCTACCTCAGGGGCAATGGGTAAATACAACAGAGCCTTTGAATCTTCCAGTTCTTCATCACTATTTGGAAAAGGATCAGACAAGGGATTGGAAAAAAGAGGAGAGAATAGCTTAAACCATAAGCCCTCTTCCTCTGGCGCCCATATTAGCATATACAACAGGTACAGATCTAGAACTTTAGGAAAGCCAGGAGGAATCACAGGAAATCAGACAACACGAATCACAGGAAATCAAAATTCAATAATCATAAACAGATTACATGTATTACTTCAGTTTCTTTAAATTCTGTATCAGGAAGATAGGGAAGAGAAAGTAGGACTAGAGAATAAAGACTGAATTGTTTTTCCTGTACCAAAAGAGTTCTCTCTTTCAATTAATATGCAGATGGGACTGAGAGGGCAGTCAAGGAAGCAGAGTTACATACTCCATCAAAGACTAAAGAGGAGCATCCCAGATGCCCAGCATTCCATGCCAGCTCACCTGCTACAGAAGGCAGCAATGGGGTCCACACTGGTGACATCCACCTCCTCATCTTCTGCAGCATCAGCTCCTGCACGACAGAAACACAGGAGAGGTTTGAGGAGAAGTAGAAAACGACTTTTTATTTGCAGCTTAATGATTTCATAAACTGAAATTCAGGAGAAACAAAGGAAGAAAACCAAGTACACTTAATCATTTAACAAACAGGTGCTGAACTTCCACCATATGCTAGGCACTAGGAAGAGTATGATGACCAAGAAAGGTGTGAAAAGTTCTTCAGTAAAACCTTCATAATCTAAGAAAACAGACACAAACAGATCACTTCCATTTAATATAGTAAACACTAACACAAAAGTATTTGTAATGTGCTTACAAGAAGGAAGGAGTAATTTATGTAGATCTTAGAACATCACAGGAAATTATCCAGGAATGCCAAAATAATCCAGAACATTCTGCAACCCTGGAGGGGTTCTATTTGACAGGAGGCATAAAAGTTATCTAACACCTAACGTGAGTGGTAGAGAACTAAAATTTTCCTGATTCCTTGGTTCTTGGCACCATACAGTGGAGTCAATGATTGCTAACTGTAATCACATACACAAATCCCTACTACATATAAAAACCTGTTTAAAGATCATCAGGATAAAAAGGGAAATCTTTATTTTTATCTTTAAGGAGGTCCTATCTAGAGATTCAGAAGACAAAAATAACAATGATTAGGCTGGGGATACAGATCAATAGGAGATCAATTGCCTAGCATGTGTCTGGTCTTGGGTTTGATCCCCCATCTTGCAAAATAAGATTACAGTCATAATCATAATAAAAAATGACATTTAAGCTGGGCACAGTGGTTCATGCTTATAGTGCCAGCTACTCTGGAATGGAGGTGAAAGGATAACTTGAGCCTCCGAGTTCAAGACCAGTATGTAGAAAAAAGAAAAAAAAGACAAGCATGAGAAGACCCTATCTCAAAAAAAAAGACACCCCTCTCCAAAATAAAAAAATAAATTAGGGACTAAGGCTCAGTAGTCAGTGTTCACCTAGCATGCTCAAGGGTCTGGTTCCCAGCACCATAAAAAAAAGAAAGAACAGGGCACAAATGATGCATACCTGTAATCCCAGCTACTTGGGAGGCTAAGGGAGGAGGACTGCAATTTGAGGACAGCCTCAGCCACCTAGTGAGACCCTGTTTCAAAATTTAAAAAAGTAAAAAGGGTTGGGGATATAGCTCAGTGGTGAAGCCCCTCTCAGTTCAATCCCTAGTACCACCCCACCTAAAAAAAAAAAAAAAAAAAGAATTGGGGTGCTTATTACAGCCTAGTCACATACTAGGTGCTTTACATGAATTATTTCATTTATTCCTATAATCCTAATTGACAGGTAATATTATTACACGCTCCACCCTCCCCTGCTTTTTTTGTAACAGGGATTGAACCCAGTGGCACTTAACCACTGAGCTCCATCCCCAGCCATTTTTATATATTATTTACAGACAGAGTCTCACTGAGGGTATCACTAAGTTGTTGAGGCTCGCTTTGAACTCATGATCCTCCTGCCTCAGCCTCCTGAACCACTGGGATTACAGGCATGTGCTACTGCACCCAACTTATAACCCCTATCTTACATTTGAGGAAATTCAAGTTAAAACTATTAAAATTAAATTTTTTGTTCAAAGCTGTCAGACTCTAGAGTCCATGTCCTTAACCTTGCAAACAAGTGACAGAACACCATAAATAAGCTGAGCACTCAGCACATCTAGGTGCTCTGCTAGGTGTAGCAAGTAAATCCTAACAATCATCTGCATTTAATCAGAAAATACAAGTGAGATATCAAGAGGGCTGCTTGAGCCCTAGTAATGCCTTAGTAAACCCTTAATTAATGTCTTATATATTAAGACTCCCCAGACATTGTGAAAACTGTACTCTTAAAGAAAAAAGGTGAAAGATTAAGTGCTAAAATAAATTTATACAAGAGTATTAGGTAAAGCAATCATTTTTTTCCTTTTGGAAATATTACCTGTCTGCTCAGGCTCACTCTTATCTTCATCTTCAATATCAAATTCTGATTCCCTTTCCTCATATTCTACATTTTCATCCAACTCTTTGAAATCTGGTGCGAATGCACTCCAATTTTCCTACACCACAAACAAAATAAAAACCACACAAGAAAGCAATAATCTGTAATCTAGATATTAATGATAAAAATGAAAGAGTTAAGCATGAAAGAGACTCAGAAGTCTAAGATTAAATGTGGGAGGTTTTCCTATCTTATGGTATTTTCTATTTAAACATTCCAAGTTTTAAATGGTGGCTCTTTCACAAAAACTGCCTTCTTTAATATTTTAAGATGTAATTTTGAGGTGAATTGTTAAATTTTCACAAATACAGTATAAAAGTGTTTAAAGCAAAACCAGGATGTGAAAATAAGAAAAAGAAAAACATAGCTCAAGAAATAGAAAAATATAACAGAAAGTACACTAGATTTTCTCCATGAAAACAGAGCTAGTAATCTAGCTTGGGACCAAGACCTTCCAATCAAAATAGAGTGAAATGAGACACACTGAACATAACTGGGTGATAGAAATCATATACCAGATTAAGAAAACAAAATAAGGTAAGTTCCTAGCCTTTTATAGTGTAAGGCTCTTATATGTAAGAACTACCTTAATATGTGTGAGAAGTATCTAGTTTCAAAGCAAGTCAACCAGAAAAATACTTACTACTTGATTTTGTGCCCAGATAGATACCACACCACTAGAAATGGATGCTATGATGGGTCGAACAGGATGCCACTAAATTTTAACGAAGGAAAGAAAAATTGGCTGTAAGAACAGATTCAAGATGTTCTGGATTATGTGAGTAACAACAACAATGCCCTGCTCTACTCACAGCTACATCCAGGAGGAGTTCTCCTCTCGTCCCATGGAGAATCTTCACCAGGTTGCCAATGCTCTTCTCCCAGATGTACAGGGCATGCTGCCGAGCTGAGCCTGCCACTATGTACTCCCCATCCCCAGAGAAGCAACATTTCTTCCATGGGGTCCTAAGGAACAAAGAAAGTCCCCACGGGGAACTGGAACCTGAGTCCCAGTGAAGAACTAACTATCATATACTCTTTCAAGCTGTGATACATACCTATTCACCAGGTCCTGCAATTTTTGCATGGGTTCAGGCTCTCCATCTCTTCCACAGGTTAAGATTTCTCTGCCATCATAAACTCTGATTATTCGATCTGCTGTGTTAATTAAAAAGCAACTAAAGAAAGGAAAAACATATTGACAGCAGAGGTCAGAAATCTGTTCCTATTAACTACCAGATATGTAGAATAGTACCACAAAACAAACTGGTGAGAATCTGAGTAAAAATGTAAGTGTAGAATTCTTGTATCTTCTTGTCACCTTCAAAACTAAGTGAAGTGAGAATATATGTTCTTTATCCCTTCTAAATATCTATGAATCCAAATGTTCCAACTGTCAGTATTTAACTAGGATCCAAGACCTCTAAACTGAAGCCAGCTTGCTAAATTCAAAGTTTATGTAACATGTATATAAATAGTTCATTTCTCTGGCCTGTTCATACACACAATATGTCCTTCTTAATGAGTTAAATAAATATATCATTTTAAAATGTCCAACTTTTTACATTTAGGACAATAAAAATCTTAGAAATCTGTCTAAAATAAGTTATTTCATTACTTACATCACTTCACTTACTTTTCTTCTTCTTCTTCTTTTTTTTTTTTTGTTGTTGTTGCAGTCTGACAATAGGCAAGCACCCTTTCACCGAGATACATCCTCAGGCCTATTTCATCACTTTTTTTTTTTTTTTTTTTTT